ATGAAAAATGTCGGAAGCAAAAAAATATATCCAAATACGCCTTAAGCTAATTTTATAAAATCCATTTATTTATCATGTTATTATTTTAAGAATATTTACAAGGGATATACTTTGTAGGTTTTTCCAGTTAGTTAATTTCAATTAGTTAATAACTGGTAACATTGATATTATACCTATTTTCCTATGGATCTTTATCCACCCAGATTTTTTTAATGAGATTTTTATTTTATTTTAACCTAAATTGCGTTGATGTAGTAAAAACCACCACTAATAAAACATTATTTTAACCATGAACCCATTGCAATCCCATAACCAAACTTGGTGTACACATTAGTGATAATATGACAAACTTAAAATAATTTTTTGAAAAAAATAAAATATGTGTTTTTCAAAATATTTTATTTTGAAAATTTATTTTTGAATTTGACAAAATTTTTGTTTTCATAACCTATTATGTGTTGCATATCATTAGAAAGGGCATAAAAAGGGCTAAACAATGACACCTCTCCCATGTTTCTAGCTTAAACATGAGAAGAGTTATGACTATTTTAAAGTTTTACCGCAGCGCGATTTTGACCGTTTTTTGAAAATTTCAAATGGTCGTATTTTGGGAACGGGTTGAGATATTGAGCTGAAATTTGGTATTTTTTTTAGTCTTCATAAAGGTAACCTATATACCAAATTTCATCAAAATCTAAGATGGTAAGGTAAAAAATATGTTAAAAGTGTGTTGATTTGATATGGACTGACCCCGGATAAAATCTCCCGTGTTATCCGACTTTAAAACCACTACCGGTAACCTAATTTAAAAACTCATTATATTGTTTTTGAAATATCAGGCCAAGGTAAGTTACTCATAAATAGTTTTGGTACAATTTACGATTTGAAATGCTCACATAAAACAGCTTTTTTGAAAATCATTTATTTTACAATGGCATTAAAAACTGTTTAATGCACTGCCCGCTCCCCTAAAGATGGAAACCAATGAGGACGAATTTGGTAAAGGAGTGAAGACTCTTCCATTGTCACACTGTTGCTACAGTGTCGAGATTTTTAAGATGCCTGTAGTGACTACCTAAAACAATGATCTTTAGTTTTTAGGCCTAGATTATATCGATAAGAACATAATGTTTAAACTTAATTAGTTTCATTAAAAATTTTTGTTGACGCTATTAATTTATGCAGTTTAAGTTAACTTAACTGTCAAAAATAAAGATATTTGAGTTTGAAATTAAATTGGTTCCTAACCGACGGTATCACTTCGGTTAGTATTAGAATTTAACTAGGCTACGAAATTACACGATAAGTTAAAACCAAATTAAATTGAATAAAATTAAAAGCCTAATAGATTGAATTAATTTGTAAGTTATGATTATGTGATGCGGAAAAAACTTCCGAATGCAACCTCTTATGTTTTAAAGGTTAAGCGCACATTATGAGGGTTAGGCCTAATGAATTTTGTGTCTAGAATGGGTTTTAGGCTAAGGCCTATATTATTTCATGTGGGAAACTTGAGTAGGCCTACCCAAAAACAAAAAAGGATTGCCCAACTCAACAACATTTTTGGCTTGGTCTTAAATAAAATCATATGCTATCATAAGTTAACTAATTAATACTACAAAGTGTTCTTGATTGATAATTCGGAAATTTTACAGGATAACTTAATATTTTGAGTATAAGTATTTCTAATCAAATAAAGTTCCTAGTTCTAGAAAAGAGCTACATGTAGGCCTATTCCTAGAACAAAGTGTCATATTTTATTCTGCTTTAAGCATAAAATGAATTAGCAAGAGAAATTGGAAATTAACTTGGTCTGGGTAGGCTACTGTGATGAGGGAGCATTTTTATTTAGGCTACCTAGGCCTATATCAATTTTCAATTACAACTATTTAAAAAAGGGGATGCCACTAAGTGAGTATTTTAACCCAAATATGGAAGGATAGGTGTAGGATGAATGGCACGATCGTGTAGTCCTTGTTAGTGACTAAGGCCGACATGTTCCTTAAACATATCCGTTAATTAGTAGCACATACAGCCAATCAGTTGATATACCGTAACTTAAGGTTAACAACCCTCCGAGTGTTATGTGTCGTAAAAGCGACTCATAACACACTTTGTGTAGTGTTTTGTGTCGCTTTTGCAACTCACAAACACTGTTTACGGCGAAGGGTCTATGACTGACTAAATCGGATTGATCTGGATCGAGTTAGGTTATCGTTTTTTTTTTTTTGGCAGATTCTAAGCTTTCTCCCGAGGTCTGTCTAGGCGCTTTTTTTTCTCGAGCCGATCATAATTGTAGCAGACAGCTGACGTGCGTATTTGTAAACAGCTTGGTTAACCTCGCACCGATGACTGATGTGTTTTATTACGTTTATCATTGTTTTAGTGTTAAAAATCAAAAGTAGTGATATACGTGGTGCATTATAAGAAGATTTAAGTGATTTTGAAGGGCTGGTTAATGATCCTGAAGAAGTAGGTAGTGATATTGATGTAAATTATCAGCCAGATTCCTAGCTATGGTTAGGCTATGCATTCTTAGCTAAACGCTATGTACCGAAATCTGAATTTGCCCATAACTTATTTATTTGCAAATCTACTTCCTTATATTATTATATTTTTGGAATCCTCATAAAATTCTGAACAAAGTGGCTATTTTAAAATATTTGTAGATTTATAAATTATAACAATTTATTTAGCGAAAACATAAATTTTTTCATTTAGGCCTATTTTATAATTTTTGATAAATGTTACCCCCACAAAAATTGTTGAACATTTTTGTTGTAATTTTTTATATGTTACATTGAAGCCCATAATTTTCCAAACAAAATTATATATAAAACAGTAGGCCTATACTTTACATTGTTTTTAAGTTTCTAAGATACCTACATTTTAATAAAACCCTGCGATTGCACAATAAATGGGCGAACATTAAGACCAAAACTAGAGACACTTGGAGGGTTAAATAATGAAAAAAAACTGTTTTTAGCGAATTTCCCATATAGGAAATAAGCTGTTACCGTAGTACTCATGGTAAGACCTGGACCCGGGACCGATTTACTTTTTCATTTTGAGGTCCCTAGAGGCCAAAAACACCATCCGTTCCAATTCATATATATAAGTATGATTGTGATTATTATTATTTATATCTTACTAATATTATAAATGTGAAAGTTTGTGTGTTTGTTTGAAGTTCAATCACGCATAAACTACTAGACGGATTGGGCTGAAATTTGGCATGATGATAGCTCATAATCTCGATTAACATATAGGCATATTCTTATCTCAAAAATCCTTTTGGGCTCCGCCCCAGTGGCTCTGTAGTTCCCCTTGTTAACCATAATGAGTATTCATATTTAAAGGTAATTACAAAATTTAGTCAGCTGTTTCAACTAAAAAGTTGGCTCTATGATATTCAAAAGTACCTATTAAAAGTTATAAGATTTGCCAACAGGGTGCAGCACTATATTTTTTTTGCATTTATAAAAACAAAAACAGCTAAAATAATTTGAACCAAGGGGTAGCAAAAAACTGTGACATGCAATGAGAACTGTCAAAGTTGGATTGTTTACAGTTACTTATAGACTGTTCACACCGGCGTAGTCAGACGTATTAATACTTTTTCGGAATACGTAGCTGACGTAGCTCTTAATGTAATTCATAGAGAGTGTTCACACCGGCGTATTAATAGGCTACGTGAGCTACGGAAGCTACGGCGCTGCCGCTACGCCGGCTAGCTACGCGTAGCTCGCACCACAAGTGGTGACCGATTTCGATTGGACACTCCAATCATCTTCAGACCGTCATATATTTACGGTACCGTCTTGTGAATAAACAGTAAAGGTATAGGCTATATATGTTTTAAGTGTTAGGCTATAGGCCTAAGAAGTTTCTTTTTATTTACTTTCCGTATAAATGTGTACTTATGTTCTGTAAATAACATAACACGTACCGTAGGTAAGTTACAACGCTGATCAAGTAGTTTTAACTTACTCAAAAAACTGTTGCAGGTAAGGCGGTGTTAGGGATTTCTATCAACATGGTAATTTATAAGAGGCTCAATGAACAAACGTTCCGGGCCATTTCGTTATAAGTTAAAGACATTTAGACTAAAACATAACCTAACTTTTCATAACCCTAATGTTTACCTGTTTAGATTGTATAAAGGAATAAAATCCGCTCCATGCACTAAACGAGAAAAATATCTTGAAATCAACAAAAACTAGCCACATATAACACACACAGCATTCCATAAAACATTTTTAACAAAACACAAACTCAAATGTCATTTGCCTTGGGTCGGAAAATAACTTTTGTCAAAAAAACATAAACAACGTCTGTTACGAAAATGTATACTATTACATTTTTTGTTTCGTTGGCCTCCTCGTCCTTGTCTCATTCTGAAAAGTGTAAAACACTCAAATATTTTAAGTTTTGACAAAGTGACTGAATAACCACATTACTCGAACAGACGATCACACCTATCACGCAGCACTGACTTAGTTTAGAGCGGGAGTCACGTTTAAAGCAATTAGGCCTACATACAGTTTCTGTATCGATCGATTGGTATAAGACTAATTTTGGTTTCATCATTATAAAAACAAACTAACACGAAGGATTTTGAAGTTTATTCCCCATGTAAATAAATCCCAACTTCTCATGAACAAGGACCACAGTACACAATACACATACAAACACCGCGCATGTCATACTCTGATTTGATACACGTATTAGCCTGTAGTTAATGATACCGCTTTTTCGACATAAATTTAACAAGTTAATAGAAATAAGGCTAGTTTTAAAGTAACTTTTTCTATTCTATTCCCAGTTAAAATTATTAAAGGACTACAGACTCAACTCATAGTCATGACATTGACTACTACCACCCTGCTGACTGTTCACCAGCTTCTTAACCACTCAAATGTTACTAATGATGTACAAATAATAGGAATTCTAAATTGATCCATAAAATACTTAACTGAAATCAATGTTTTAAAACATACCTTTGACCATCGTATCAAATCGATGAAATGTTTACTATCAAATTTATCGACCTAAAACGAAACGCGAAATTAAAACCCTACGAATTACCGGCACCATTTTTCTTTCAAACTTAACTCACTACAAACAAAACTATATTAAGTTATGGTCTTCAATTATTTTGGAATGTTACACGAATTAAAAGCCCACCTTTTAAGAGGTTAAAGAGGGCTGTAGCAGAACACTCGCGAACTCGGTGGTTGAACGTCAACTAACTTTCTTCTTTGGCCGTCTGCAAAAATTAACCTGAGAGAAGCCACCAATCGCTGCCATTTTTACAGAACGTCGCGATCTGCCAGCGCTGGGCATGTCAAACTAATAATCATACTCCATACTGTCGTCATCTCCAAATACATGCACATAATCTTCACTCGAGGTAACACTATTTTTTGTTTACACACAACCGAGCACGCAACTTGAGGTAAACGACTAACGCTAACGCATCGCACCTTCACCACCATTAGTACACTTTTTTCATCGAGAAGAGTCAACTGTTATAGTTGACAGTGTCACGCCAAAAATCAATAAAAGTTCCACCCTACCAAACCTCCCTCTACTGATAGACTTTCTTTTCAATCATTAATACACATTTACAGAAGTTATACACAAATTGAATTTTTTTACAAATATTTAACATGTGCGCGGTCATTATTCTACCTCAGTAAAGGGCTACCTATGTTAGTTTACAGAACTTGACTTTCGCACACCAATCAACGTTCCCACAAGAAGATAAACTTTCTTGTTGAAATTGAAAGACTTCGGATTAAAATAGCGTTTTCATCGTAGTTAAGTAAATAATATCATTAAATATAATCTTAACAGTTGATAATAAAAAACTAAAAAGTTATTACACAAATGAAGTGGAACAACACATTTTGTCTCTATATTGTCTTACAACCTACGATTTACTCATCACCCGGTACTTTAGTAATTTAGGAAACCGAAATAGTAGTAAGAATATTATTAAGAATTGGCTTATGAAATAGGAGAATTTAAAGACACGATAGTTTCCTAACCGGTATGCAGTTAACGATAAGGATCACACACAATCTGCAATTATTTTTAACTGAAAGAATTTTAAAAATTGTTGTAACTTATCTTACGAATTTATTTCAAAAGTTTTTATTTAGATATTGTAAAATATTTTTTTAATTTTTAATTTTTAATATTGTTTAAAATAATTTTATAAAAAGTACGGTACTAAATTTGTGTGGCCGGTTGGTTAGGCCTACACTATCATTAGTTCTATGACATCAATGCTAAGCCAACTTTTGTAAACAGGAACTCCGCCTCCCTCATTTTTGGACCGATTTGAATTATTTAAGTGTAAAAAAATGGCCCTCATCTGTAATTTTGCAAAGTGTTTTTCATTTTTTTATATCCTTATTAGTTTGGGCATGATCTTCCATCAAAGTTGGGTTTTCTGGTTTTCTCCCATAAGATTAACATAAAGGAATCTAACTATTTAATTGGAACGTTGTCTCCACTAATTTGAGAACGGCTGGGCGTAGAAACTTGGTAGAGATGTCCAAAGAAAGGTCTTGGCCTGTAGATGAGTTATCAAAAGAAAAACGAAGTAAATTCGCATAGGGCTCTGCCCCAGAAGCCTTTAAAGATCCCTCCACAGATTTGTTTACATTTTGACCATGTGGATAATACCTTTTAATGAAACAGCTGTTAATTTAAAAATTGTATTTTAAACAACACACATTTATTGGGAGTTACTATTATCCAAAAAAAGTATTTGCAATGTTATTTTCTGATTTTAAAATTGATTTTCTTCTGTATCATGTCATGTTTTGCAATATAACGTTACATTACGAAATCTGTGGAAAATTCTTTTATCACAGTAACTCTTACAATTATTTCTTATTGAACTAACTTATATTTATTTTACGGGTTGGTGTCTGCCTTTTTCACCACTTTTTGCCTATATTTTATCATATTATTTTAGACATAAGATCATCATAGGTTCATTATTGTCATACGTGTTTTTAATCATTGGAAAAATCTTCTATTGTGTAATACAATACAAAATAATACAAGTGCAGAAGGCCACGGTGCCCGGATTTGAGCCTTGTCCTTATCCTTATATATAATACGTGAAGGCGATTTCTACGAAACACTACTCCTCCGTTAATAATGGACGGATTTTTACAAACGACGTGTCAAAATAAAGTATTTTTTGTGTAGACGCCCCCTTTCACCAATTCCTGTAATAAAAATCATCGGGCTTTGCCCCACAGGCTACCAAAGTTGGAGTTTCTCCCATAAGATTAACATGGGGGAAAATATTTAATTGAAAACTTTGTCCCCACTGATTTGAGAACAGCTGTAACAATATGTAAACCTCAATATATACGTAACAGCCAATTTACAGTATTTTTGCTTTTTGGAAATGTCCCATTGCTATGTCATTTGTATTATTTGTTGCCAATGAAGTCGCAAGACCATATGAACTAGGAGGCCCCAACAGTTCAAGAATAAAAGCCAACTTCACTTCAAGTATTCCACTACACCTATTCGTAGAAAGATTATATTGACAACTTTATGTTATTGATAAGGCTGAGACAACTAACTGACATCCCACATGTCTAGAAATTCCAGCTCTAACAGTAACCCCACAACCAATTTCTCAAAACTGTGCTAGAGGGTTATTCATTGGCACAGAAGTACGATATGAACTGACGCGACGTGACGAAGGAAAATCAAACTTACACTGTAACGGATATACCTCCCTTTGAAATTAGAATATGTCTTCCCAAAAAATATTTTCTTTTCAAATAAAATCATATTACATTGATGAAATCACGGAAGTGTTTAACTACAAAAGATCCACCAATACGATTTCAATACTATTTAAAGGTTCTTCCAAAGGAAGAGATACCATATAACATACTAATAATAACTCCGATGATGTACGGTATGGGGAATATTTTATTCATTGAATGATCAACCAAATTTGGCAACTAACGCAATTAGTTAATATCATTATTGTTTTTACACTTTTTACTCTTTAAACAATGCTAAATGCTCAAAATATGTATATTTCACCTAATTTATCGCAGTTAGATGAATTAACGTAAGCCTCGAAAGTAACCGTCGATTTCGACGGGTTTCACCTAGTTTTGTTAAATTATTAGTGGTTTACAGTAACTGGATAAAACATTTTACAATATTTATGTAGAAATATGTGCATGATTTAGAAAGTCATTAAGCTGGAAAACTGCATAATATACTGCAGACTTTTCAGAGAGGTAACTTTGATGTATTCATTCAGCGTAGTGAAAACATAATATAGATATGTATACAAATAAGAACTTGAACTCTTAGAGAGCCTTTGAATGTTATTAGACTAACGAAAAGGGCTGTGCATGTTTACTAGCGCTACCCAGCAACAAAAACCATTTAATTTATCTCTAAAATATATATTCTTAAAGTGCACTGAGCAGCAGCCTAAAAAAAAATCTATGTAGCTTATATTGACAACTTTATGTAATTGATAAGACTGAGATAGCTAACAAACTGACATCCCCCATGTCAAGAAATTCCAGCTTTAACAGTAACCCCACAACCAATTTCTCAAATCTTTGCTAAGAGGGCTATTCATTGGCACAGAAGTACGATATGAACTGACGCGACGTGACGAAGGAAAAATCAAACTTACACTGTAAGCCTAACTGTAAGGGAGGGATATACCTCCCTTTGAAGTTAGAACGTGTCTTACCAACAAACAGATTTTTTTTTATAAAATCATAGATTAATCTGCATTACACTGATGAAATCACCAAAGTATTTAACTACAAAAGATCCACCAATACGATTTTAATACTATTTAAAGGTTCTTTCAAAGGAAGAGATACCAGATAACATACCAATAATAACTCCGATGACGTACAGTATGGGAAATATTTTATTCATCAAATGATCAACCATATTTGGTAACTAACGCAATTAATATCATCATTATTGTTTTAACACTTATTAAAGTCTCTTTAAACAAAGCTAAATGGTCAAAATATGTATAATTTCACTCAATTTATCGCAGTTAGATGAATTAGCGTAAGCCTTGAAAGTAACCGTCGAGTATCTATCTATATAATTAATACACCAACACGAAATTTGTCGGTTGAACTCCTCCACTATTTATTTACCGATTTTTTTCCACTGACGTCTCATTGGAAAGAGCGTGGCAGGTAGATTTGCAAACTGACCTTACATTTTTGAAAAAGTCCCTTGGGCTCTGCCCCAGTGGCTTTTAAAGTTCCCATATTATCCTTAATGAAGAACATAATTGTTTACATTTCGATCAGCTGTATAATTTAATTGCTGTTATTTATTTTTCAATTTATTCATGTTGAAGCCTTCCGAAATTGGTAATCAATTATAACAGGTTACGTACCTTGACGTCCACAATTCCTTGGTCGATATCCGTTGACTAGTTTTGACTACTACGTAGTCATTATCAAAAACGGAACGTTAAAATATTGTACATTCATTGAATGTTGTCAAATCTTAAATACATCGAACACACAAACAAACATTACACGAACACGGTAGACATTTAACATAATTGGCATATGTTGACTACATTAGCTAAGTAGGGTTGACTAAGTAGGGTTGTTATAGCTGTTTTTTTGTAGGCAGCTAAAGGTATTAGTGTACCTATGTTTTAAGAATACGAAAGCTTGATTACTGGGCTATGAAAATATTGACTCCAATTTTAAATGTACACTACAGAAATAGATTTTCAATTTATATTGTTTTGGTATAACAGTTCTCATAGTGGTGCCTCGTTTAGCGAGCAGTTTCTTCACAGCATAATTATTAAACTCAGTCCCACCATCACTCATAAACCTTTTTACCACATGTCTAGCAGTTTGACATTCATTCAAGTATGTCTCAATACAGTCTGTAACCTCCGTCTTATTTTTTGATGAAAAATACTCTTCTGAATTTAGTAAAGTAGTCCTTGAAAACCATCAGGTAGTTGCGACTTCCTCCTAGAGAAACATTTTCCATAGGACCACAGAGATCTCCACTTACTATTTCTCCTGCCATTGTTGGCTTTACAGTTTGAGAATGTTATGTAGCTCTGTGTTGCTTGCCTAGTACGCAACCTTCACAAAATTCATCTTCTACCTTGACATGTATTCCCCTGCTTTTAAGAGTTTTTAACACATGTGTCTTATTTTGATGAGCCAGAGATTCATGCCACTCTTGGACAGTTTTCTGTTTACCACTACAAACTGTTTCAAATTCTGCTTGTCGTAACAGAACATCCATTTCAATTTCATGAGTCCATTTACACAATGTCCATACAGTTGTGCAATATTATTCTTCATGAAGACATATTTTTCTTTAGTTACTTTGAAACTAAATCCTTTGTTCGCTGTTGTGCTGACTGACATCAGGTTCCTTCCTAGCTTGGGAACATACCATACATTCTCTGAAGTTG